TGGCTGGGGAATTCTGGGAGTTGAAGTCCACACCTCTTAAACTTGCCAAGGTTGAGAAACACTGCTCTATACAGCTTGGCATGTGGAAATGTAGTAGATTTTACTCTTTTTTACATGCTGTGAAAGATCACATGGATTTTAGATTGCTTAAGGCACAGCAACCCTGCTGGCTTTACGAAAAAGTGGTAAACGTTAGAAGAAAACAGTGTCTTGATGCTTTCATGCAAGGAAAGTAACGTTTTGGGGCACCTTCTAGACTAGTGTTCCTCAACCTTGGTAATTTTAGGAGGTGTGGACTTCAACTCCCAGAATTCCCCAGCCAGCAATACAGGGTGGGCAGTCTTAGTTTGATCCCAGCAAGACACTGCCTTAACGTGGAAACTGGCTACTTTATGCCAGAGATCTTGAAGTTCTGAAAATTGGGATTGATGGAGATTGGCTTAAGTGAGTTTTAGTGAATGAATCACAGTGGCGTGGATGGGCACAAAGCCATAAGCCATGGTTTGTGAGGCCCAGTGGCTGGATTTGCAAGTTGTATGAAGCCAGTTCCAAACAAACCACGATGTCCACACCAGTTGTATTTGCTACTTGGTTTCATTCATCCAGATAGAAGTATATATTTTATTTATTTGTACGTTGTATCAGTTATACCTTGAATGGCATGCTGATTAGAACAGCCAAATTCAAAATGGCTGTGCTGGGAAAACAAAACTCAAGCTGCATCCTTTACTCAACATGAGAAATTTGAATTGTAGAATAATCCATAGCAGCGCTGGAAGAGAAAAGAAAGATTGGAGCTAAATGCAAAAAAACTACAACGTAAAGTTTACAAAAACTGCAATATTTCTTGCAATCTTCCTGCGATGTATTTTTTCCTTTCTTTAGGATGGTCTCGTAAACCTTAAAAAAGAAAGAGAGGATGAGGAACCTGATTGTCAGAAGGTGAGAGACAGCAAGGAAAAGATAACAGAAGATAACAGAAATGAGGACTCCGGGTCCAAAGATAATTTATTAGTAGGAATCATGTTCCCACTTCCCCTCTGCACCCCCTTCCACATGTCGTGTGATCCATGTTAGGAAGATTACCACAAAAGTTCCAGAAAGAGTCATCTTAGGGGTCTCCAGCTGCAATTCTTTAAATTCCTAAGCACATGCCAGAGTGATGGAACAGCTCCATGTATGAAGCTGGCAAAGCATGATACAGAACATACAGGTGTATGGGGTTGAAGCCCCCCCTTGCAGAAAAAGAGTTACCGGGTGTTTTTTTAAGTTTCACTTAACCTACAGTGTAAGCTTTTGGTCAACAACAGAATCAGAACTATAGGTGATAAACAATGTTTTCCTGCTGGATCTTACAGCGTTAAGCGTGTCTTAAAGCTATTCCCTGAACAAAGTTCCTACCAAACGTCAGTGGGATCAAATAGTAACTCTAAAATTTAATCAAAAGAGGAACCAAAGAGAATTGTGAAGCATCTTGTTCAAACTATTAACAATGTAAAATACAATAATAACACCACCTGGGGAAGTGGAAAATAAAATCCACCTTTCCAAGCCAAGCACTTGAAAATCTTGAAGGATGACCTTGTCAAAGAAATTGGTTATAAATTCACTTAAAATAGTATGATGAAAGGAAAAGGAGAAGGTCTTTTGAACTAGAAGTCAGCCTCAGAGTTAAATTAATCTTCATCTCGTTTATTTCGCCCAGATGCTCAAATTCATCCTGGACCCTCTGTCTGAATCTTGTTTCATATTTGCCAGTACCTACTTTCAATAAATGAAAGGTCTTTGGAACGTGAAATTGTTTAAACAGGATTTAGTTTTAGAATCCTTTATACTGATTTTCTCTCTGCTGTTCTGGCAAAACGCTCTGTCTTTTTACTGACTGAATGTAACTCCTCTGAGAATCTTTTTGGTCTGGTCAATTGAATGAAAATGCCATAAATTAATTGAGTTCACTTCTACCAGATGTGGACATGAACACCAGGTGATTTTAAAGGGGGCTGGAATGAAGTCATGGTTTTCAGTGGCTACTAGTCACAATGTCTGATACTTCTTCAGAAGTCAGAAAGCAGAATGCCTTAAATACCAGCCATTGGGGAGTAACAGTTGTGAGATTTGCCACCTTCCTGTCCCTGCTTGTGAATTTCCTGAATCCGTCCAATTGGCTGGTGGTGACATGGATGGCTGGACCAGGTGTGGAGATTGTCGAGTGGCTGAGAAAGGACTGGAAGAAATGTAGAAACGCTCAAGGGAGAGAAGATGAGTCATTTGATAGCTTATGTGTAGAGGGAAGAGGGAATGGCCTTAAAGGACAGGAGAAAGAGCCACTATCAAGGCAGTGGTTAGATAAGAGGGAATTGAGCCCAGGCCAAGAAAATAACTAGAGAAAATGTCTCAGACAAGCCCCCCACACAAAGGGGGGAGGGAGAAGCATATTCAGACTCGGAAGATTCTGATACCATAGCTAATTGTTTTTCAAATGTGGCAACTTTAAAGATGCATGGAGTTCAACTCCCAGAATTCCCCAGCATAGCTCTGGGGGTTGAAGTCCATGCATCTTAAAGTTACCACATTTGACAAACTCTGAGTTTGATGTTTGAAAAAAACAAATTTGAAAAATACTGCTATAGCTGTTAAAATGAAGGTAGTCCTACCTATATGGCATTGGTTTCTTAGTCTGGTCTCCCTTATAGGGCTGACACTACAGTATGTCATAAACAGCACCTAGCAAGAAACCTGGGAAGAAGCATTTTGAATTGTTCGAAGAGATGCCAGCTTAATGAACTCACTACAGAGGAGGGAGGGAATTCCTTTTAAAGTTTCCAAGCCAGATGTCAAGCACTATAGAATTAGACAAGGTTGAAGAAATAAGAACCACACAGATTCCAGGACAGGATCCTTGGTGCTCACCTGCGGGAAATGTAGAACCTTGGAAACTACAAGGGGAATGTCATTTCTAGCGAGTTCACCAAGGCAGAGTCTCTCAGAACTATTTGCAACGCTTCTTCCCAGGTTTCTCCCCACCTGGGCTACCATTTGGGAGAGAAGCTTCCTGTAGATTCCCTTCCTCTCTCTTGACTGTTTATGTCTGCTCTCTCAGTGTGCCCAGAATCTCACAGGTGGGCCTCTGCCCTGAGCTTCCTCCACGTTATTTTATTTTATTTTTTTGATATTCTGGAATTCTGCAAGGGAACAGTCCATCTCAGGTCTGTTGCTTGTTGAAATCTTCAAGCCTTGGGAAGTCTGTGGTGCTCTGACTGGGGATAATGTTTCAGATATTAACAGTCCTCTTCTTCCCTATTTTGCACATATTTTTTCTTGTAAGGAGCTGCAGGGGATTCAAATGGAACAGAGTGAAAGCCCTAAGGCCTTGGTGACAGAAAGGACTAAGGAGGAGGAAGATGGAAACCAGGAGGAGGTATTCTGGAATAATGTCTTCCTAGGTTTGTGGCCAGATTTTACGTTAATTTCAAGCTGCAGTCATTGAAGCAAAACAGAGGTTTGAGGTGACCATTGGTTGATTGATTTATTATTAAACTTGTTTATTATTAAACTTGTATGCCCCCCATCTCCCCCAACGGGTGACTCTGGGCGGCTCTCATTTATTTACTTGCATCCTGCCTGTCCTTCAGGAGCTCAAGTGTATAGTGATCCCTCCTCTATTTTTTCCAACAACCGCAACCACGTGAGGTGGGTCAGGCTAAGTGAGACGGGCTGGCTCAAAGTCAGTGAGTTTCGGTGTTTGAGGGGGAACTAGGACCTGAGTCTCTCCACTCCTAGCCCAGCACCTTCCCCATTACTCCACCCTGGCTCTGGGACTGAGAGGAAGGGACTGGCCCAGAGTCCGCCCAGGGAGATTCCATGGTTAAAGGGAGACTCTAGCATAAAGTTTTCTTAAAATATCACATTTGCATCTTCCCTTCCTCATAAAAGATCAGGGTGATATCCTTAGATGTCCTTTCCTTCTTTTCCTTCCCCCCCTCCCCCTCCCCTCCCCTTCCCGTTTCCCTTCTCCCTCCCTCCCTTCCTCCCTTCTCTGAGTGGCT